AAGACAGGGTTTGGGGCACCTTCCAAAATTTTTCTTTTTGCCGAAAAAGGTGCTGGTACCAAACCTTACGTTTCTATGTATACATTTAGAAGATGCTCATAATGCACATATTTTACTCTAGAAGTATTGTGTATATACATATATTAATCAAAGAATTGGTTAAGTAACCTAAGAACATTTCAAATTTAAATTATCTGAAAAATATCACAAGTTTCAGTTGTCATGGCCACAGTACCTTTTTATAAAAATCACCAATATTTTTGTCAGTTTCGCAGCAATCCGGCAGCGCATTTCAAGGTCATTAAGCACCCTGTATTAGTTGTGAAAAGTGAAAGTTGGTATAGATATTACAGATATTAAAAGGAAAAAACTAACGGGGTGCCCCGTTTTCTAGAATGAAATTTTTTTCCCCATACAAAAATTGGACCACTATATATATATATGTTTCGAATGAAAAAAAAATCATCATGAAAGTAATAAACGTTTCGAAATTGCATTAACAAAATCGGTTCATAAATAGGGCCTTTATCGGGTCCGTTTTTCGCAAATGCTTTTTTCATCATGCAGGTAGCTTATAATTTGAATTTGAACGAAATCGGTTCATAAAGCCACCTAGGGGGTTTATTTTTGGTAAACGTATTTTCCATCATACTGGTAGCTTACATTTTGAATTTAAAAGAAATCGGTTCATAAATAAGATTTTTATAAATAACTCGACTCCAGCGCCACCTAACGGGTCTTTTCTGAGGATCTTTTGCGAATGCGAATATTGGAGGGACCGAAAATAACAGTTATTTTTTTTACAAGTTATACTTGGCCAAATATTTTTTGTTCCGAAATAAAAGTCCATTCCGGATAATAAACAAACCGGTTATCCAAATTAAACAAGTTTGGTATCAAATGAAAGAGGACTTAAATAGCTTTAAAACTGATACATGTGTCTAAACGAGAAAAGCCAACTATTTCAGTCCTCTTTCATATGATACCAAATTTGTTTAATTTGGATAAGTGGTTTGTTTATTATCCGGAAAGGAATTTTATTTCGGAATAAAAAATATTTGGCCAAGTTTAACTCGTAAATAAATAACTGTTACTTTCGGTCCCTGGAATATTGTGCAAGTGCACTGATAAAACGTATATCTGGCCAGTCACAGAAGAAAGGAATAAAAATTAATTACAAAAACTAAAATCGAAGAACGCTGATGACGTTACAGGCACTCCAAATTCAGAAAGAACCAAAAGAATGAGAATGAAGAATTCTTTGGAAAACAGCGGTTTTTAAACAACGATGCTAGATTGTGAAGATGAAAGTCAGGAGGATACATCCGACATTTACAGTCCCGATGCAATTCTCAAAAGGGAATTATTGCACCGCAATAAAAAACTCAATATAAATGAAAGTCCTCTCAACTGGTGCAGCGTCAATCGAAAAGATTTACAATTTTGTGAAGCTTCAAGTTTTTCGAGTTTGTCACCTCGACCGAGTAGTTATTTAGTGGCGCAGATTTGATTTACGACCCTTTAAGAAACAGACTGCAACCCGAAAAGGCAACAACATTACTTTTTAATAAAAAGTTTTTATTAAATAGAATGTTCCAATTTTTAAATTCAAGCACTAAAAAAACATTATAAAAAATTTCTAATATTTCCATTATTTATTTACCTAAATCACCTAATTTGGCCGAGGGCTTGAAGCCAGGCGTTGCGGATTTGAGGCGCGGACTGCTTACCACTACACCACAGCGGCCGACAGGCCAAACACTTACATGTGCGTAAGCGCCAATCTATTATTATTATTATTATTATTAAATCACTTAATTTACTCACCTAAATTATTTCTTAAAAATACTTGACATCCGCATTCGCATCCGCATCCGCGGATGTTAGCTTTTAAACATCCGCATCCGCATTCGCATCCGCGGATGTCTAAAATTCCACATTCACAACATCCCTAATACATATGGGTGTTTCCATACAGCCGTACGCGACATTTGTACGTTTATAGAGTAACGTAAATCTATCAAAAATAGGAGTTACAGAAAAAAAAAGATTACGGTTATGTTGCAACCAAAGGGTACTATGTTTGAGAAAAAAATAAGCAGCCTCGAAACCTTGGGTTGGAAAATATCCGTTCAAAACCAGGTGATAACGTACGCGACAAAAAAAGAAGTGGTTTTAAGGCACATATACATATATGCGAAAGTCTGCGAATCATGAGAGTTTTTCTTTTCTTTAAAAATTCCTAAACTAAGCTAAATAATGTACTTTTACAATCCTTCCATTTTTTGATAGAAATTATCTCTGGTTAGTTTTTATTAAAAAAAATAATAATAACGTACGCGACAGTGAAAATTTATCCAGTAAAATCCAGTAAAAACTTGGAACTTCAACTGTCATTTTTCGCTCTCTCAATTTCCCCCACTTTGCAAGTTTTTGCGTACGAAAACGCCAAAACATGAAAATTCGTAAAAACTTTTACTGGAAATGAGTAAAAAAACGCAACTAATGCGTGTTTGACAATTCGCGAAAATCGAAGCAAGCAAAGCGGCTAGTGCTGCGAAACTATCGATGGGACCATCGATGTTATCGATTGGGCCAAGGCTATATACACTATCGATGGCCGATTCTTTGCCGATTAAATCCTGAATATAAATTCATTACAAGAACATATGCTTTTATAGACCTTTATAATGAGTAAAAAAACGCAACTAATGCGTGTTTGACAATTCGCGAAAATCGAAGCAAGCAAAGCGGCTAGTGCTGCGAAACTATCGATGGGACCATCGATGTTATCGATTGGGCCAAGGCTATAGTCACTATCGATGGCCGATTCTTTGCCGATTAAATCCTGAATATAAATTCATTACAAGAACATATGCTTTTATAAACCTTTATAATAACAAAAGAAAAACAAATAACTAAATAACATTAGCTGTGCATATGAAGTAACAAAGTACTAATTTGTACTGGAAGCTGCAAATCTTTACTGGAAAAGTTTATAATAGCCCAGAAAATTTGCAAGCGAGCACTGAATCGAGAGCGTAACAGTACGGGAGAGCTGCAAATTCTTGCTAGTGAAATTTTATTATCAGAAATTAGCTAGCAGAAGAAGAAGAAGAATACATGTCAAAAGCCGCCAATTATTGTTGAATTGGTTTAGCACAAACAAAAGTAAAATTAGTGGAAAACAAAAATGATGTACTGGACTGTGTAAGTGCTTGTATGTAAAGCAAAGAGTTTAAAACTAATTTATAAATAGTAAGATGTTAACAGAAGAATGTCAAAACGGTGCAACAACTATTCATTGCAAGTTTTTACTAGTTTTGTGTTCAGTAACATTTTCTGCTAGTTTTCTCTTCATCTCAATTTTACGCTCTATAACCTAGGATTCTGTAATAGCCCCCATTTATAGCCTATTCCCACCAAAAGCTTAACGCCAGTTAAGAAGTCAGGTAAGTTTCACGTGGGGTGATCGGCAGGGTTTATTTCTTACATTTTTGCCTTTTTACTTTTGTTTTCTTGTACTTAACATGAAAAATAACCCCCTTCAAGTTGTAATCTCCCTTTTTCAATAGGCATAAACTGCAGTTAAGGCTTGATGGAAATGAACTATTAGTAGGGATGTTCCGATACAAGTAAATACGATTATGTACTCGATACTTTTGTTTCGATACCAACTACTTTTTTTACTCTAATCGTTGTTTCGATACCTACTTGGTATCGAAAGAAAAGTACTTGTATCGAATCGATTTGAGAAAGTGCCATATCCTGTCGATAATATTTTTTCTATGGAAAATAGTTCCTTCGTTTTCATAAAAAAAATGTTTTAAGCAATTACACCGCCAAATTCTAAAAGATGGATATATTTTTACAAAGTTGGTGATACCACAACAAAGTGTAAGCAATCTTTATAGCCGTAAAGTTTTGTGGGATCCTTTCAAAGATTGAATTTTTTGTCTAAGTAATCGTATTACTTTAAGTGCTACTAAAGAAGAAATATG